TTAAAGTTTTCAGCATGGAAGCAGCCTGGCATCATTCAAGAAAATACATTAACAGTTCAACTACTACATATATGAAGTAATAAAAATAAAATATTTTATGCTGAAGGTGTTCAGCAGTAGCTTATTCACCATACGTATGGACCTGACTAGTAAAGAATCTATACTGAGGGCCGGAAATCCAGTGGGCGCTGGTACGAATCCGGCCGCCGCCTAAATTCTCATTTCACCTTCAATCATCACCCAGTTTAAATACTAGTCTGGCAAACTGCGGTTACCTCAGATAGTCTAATGATAGTAAGGAGTCGCTTAAAGAATTAGGCATAGGCCTGAATGTAGGCAAGCGGTATGCGTATGAACAACAACCAGCAACAGATCCTGGAAACATGAAGGCTTATGCGGTGAAGTTATACTTGCAAACTTCAAACAGAAAATATAGTGGGTGGTGACAGAATCTTGAGAAAAACCTGGGCTTCGAACTAGTTACTAAGTTATCGACCTGCCTGGTTGATTAGAATGAGCTAAGTCACCCAACTGCATGGTAAAGTATGGTGTCCCAGGGATGAATGCTGGAAAGATAACCAATATCAAGTGGAAAGTTAACCCACCAAACCTCAAAGAAAAGCAAAACGGAAGTGATAAGCCAGATCTGATGATTATTTGTTCACCGCCATCACGTAAATAAGCAAACAGTTATATGAAAGGAAATAAGTGTTCAACTAATACTGGCACCAGAGTGGGAAACGGAACAAGTGCATAGTTAAGAGTGATACTGTAGTGGGCTTTGCTGATAACAATGGATATAAGTAGTATATATCGAGAGGGTGGCAAGAATCATAGGGAATTACCAGCAATGGGTAAGGTTTCTGCCAAGAGCAACGCAGGGGACAACACAGGCGTACTACAGGGGATGCTGCTGATAAGAGTGTACGAAGAGCCGGTCAAGAGCAAATCAAGACAGGAACGGAGAGAAAACGAAGACATTTGCAAATGGCTGCGTTAGTTCAAAGAGTGCCATATGTAACCACTACCATTCCAATTGTTCGTAATAAGCATTCTCTCGTCGAGTTGTCTTCTGTTTCTTCAATACTACAGTAATCACACTATCAAATAGTACTATAAAACTAGAATAGTGGGCCACAGACGTTGGTGTACCAAACAATATGGGTAGTGATCACCTTCCAATTCAAATTACGTTTGCATACTCTCAGGTCACCTATTATTGTAAAGTCAAATATGCAGAGAAGGTGACGTTATGTCTCATCTCTTGACTTAAATCTAGGAAATTTCTCAATACCTTCATAAAAAGGAGGATTTCAAAAGCAATTATTTCTAGCACGAAGTAGCTTCACAAACATTCGAAAAAAATAGATGGGTTTTTAAGTTGCATAGCACTGTCACACTGACTTCTGAAAAGCATCCATGACTCTGATTTAGGGTTGTAGGTTGACATTTAAATCAGGTGTTTTGATCATTATGGCTGGAAGTCAATCGCAACATTTTTTGGAGTACATAGCTGTGCTGAATTAGCCGAAAATTATCACCGTCTACAGTAAAAGGTAACCACTGAAACAGCCTCGTAGCTTTAGCTGAACACAGTTACTGGGATAAATTACAACCAACCTTTTGTCTTACTACGTAGCACTACCTATATGCCCATAAAATTGTAATAAGTTAGGAAGAGAAGTTTTAGGAAACAATCACAACAAACACCACTTCATACTAATCAGGTGAACTGGTAAATAAGTGACCTACTAAAGTCCTACTTCCTAACCTAGTTATTTTTTCATCTGCTTCGAATACGCTTCTGATAATTTCACCTCAAATTCAGTTGAACATAATTAAGTTGATATTATAACTGGTACTAGTTAGATAATAAAGAACTTTTTTCACAATACAATAATTTAAGTGGATCGCCTACGGCATTTAGACTACAAAGAAAGAATTTCTGATTCATATCCCTCTGCACACGAATCGCAGTTAACTGTTTCCTTGAATGACAGATATTCTTAACTAAACGGAGAGATGAGTAAAAACTCACACATCTAAGCCCATATAGAGATCAAATCAGCTTTTTATGTGGGTTGGGAGACTACACAACCAATATAAACAGCGGGAAACTGCTCATCATCAACAACAAAATAGGAACAGGCATTACTGCACAACGGTCAGAGTTCCCCATCTCAAATCAGCACATCAAGTAACAAAGCGATACAATGAAAGATGAAGAGAAAAAGCTAGGTCAGAAGCAGTTGGAAGGAGTAAACGAGGGGAAGGACAAAATGCCGAAGTCAGCATGGTGATTATTGTAATACATGGATACATCTGCACAACTGAAATCGATTCTGAGTCATATCACGTAGTCTCCAATCGCTGGTTTCTGTCATCGCGTGGACCCCGAACGGCTAGCCTGTACCTTCCCATATAGCTCGGACCAACAACCAAGGACTTTATGCAGTGATGACATGTTTCGTTCTGGCCGCCCCGATCGTTTTCCCAGCCTTAACCTACTTCAGCCAACATCGTGCAAAGAGGCAGATGATGGCTGGTCATGCGCATCACATGTCCCAGACAATTCAGTCGACGAAGGTTCACATCCGCACCAATTGAATTTCCTCCCTTCTCTACAACTCTATGCCTAACTTCTATGTTGCTGGCGCGGCGACACCATGACACATGGTCCATGTTATGAAGGCAACGGTGGTCAAACACCTAGAGCTTTCTCATGTCCTCTACGTTTAATAGCCATGCTTTATAACCATCCAGTGGAACAGAACGAACTACAGCACAACACACTCTACCCTAAATCGATAGTGTAATACCACAGATGGAAAAGGCTTATTGAAAATTGTGAATCCCTGAAGAGATTTCGTCGGCTACCGGCCCATGAGGGTTGATCCGACTTCCATGGTGAATGAAATGGTCGGGGCACTCAACCACTTCCCTTCTACTATAAGCCAGGGCACCGGTGAAGTCTGAGTAAAGGTCTACTGTTACCTAACGCGGTTACCTATTCCATCTCTTCAGCCTTTGCCAACCACCACTACTCGCGATCATCGTGTAAACTTTTTGTCAGTCTACCTTTGAGTTGCTTCGGCTCCTCATTGTACTCGGAGCCTGAACGAATGCCATCGATTATTTCAAAGGAGATCCAGTGGCTCTTTTTAACCACGCTCTAAAGGTCGGCTACGGTCTTCCATGTTGTTTTTACGGTAGACAGGAGATTGTCCCAACCTACCTCCGAATGTAATGTAATGTAATATTGTTCAGTCCCGGTAACTATCTAGCCAGTTTCTCATTGAAAGCGACCTCGGTGCTCTCACCATAAAGATGAGCTCGTAATAGTCTTGTGACCTAAGTTTTCCTATGTGCACTTAGACGTAGACATATACGGACTCGAAACAACGCTTGGTCACTGTTCAGACATGTGCTGAAGAAGTAGAGGAAGTTTTTCACCGACCCCCTCCAGCGATGACCAATAACAATGTGGTCTATTTGCGTCCACCGCTGAGGGTAAGTTGGTGGATGTCACGTCAGAAAATATCTCTCTTCATATCTGAATTTCCTGCTGGCCAAAAATTGAAAGTAGTGTGAACACAGTTGTAGCAAGCGATCACCGTCTTTCTGCTGGGACTCCAAACGCCTAACCACTTGTCCATTGAAATCACCTGTAACAACTACCACGTTTGAGCGCTTGACTTTCAGTAGAGGGCTAGACAGTTTTCAGTAGAATATATCCTTCACTCCATCCGAACTGTAGTCAGCCGATGTGTAAACACAGATTACAAAGAGACAACGGCAAGTCCCACTATTCCCTTTAGTCCTCACTAGGCAGTTCGATAGAATAGCGCATAGGTAACTGTCAACTGGGATCCAGTCGATCAGTAAACTGTCTGCTTTAGCATTTAATGCTATACATACACCTTCAAAACCGCGGGAACTGGTTATCGAACCAACAGCAACTCGATGGATGAATTTTGCGGATTTAACGGGTGAGGTCAAGTGAATAAACCCCCACTTGGGTCTCGTATGCGTGTCTTGCATCTACACAATACATCACTGGTCCGAGATGTTGGAGTTTGGGCCAATGAGGCTTGTTGGCCAAGTTGACGGAGGGAGCGGACAGCGAAAGCTCTAATATATAGTTTGGAACTTAATTTTAAGAGACCACGGATACCACTCTGTGAAATCAGACCTTTGTTAAGAGGTGGAAGAAATTAGAGATGATGTAGGATCATTCACTGAAGGGAATGAAGTTTAGAAGGTAAGGACGTGGAAGCTGGACAGTGATCTGACGGAACATGGCAGACAAAGTTGTGAGGGACGTTGACACTTCCCAGTCGCCCAGAACATACAAAATTTGTTTTTCTTGAGATGCCTGAAACGGAAGAGTTAGTGTATGAACGCAATGCCCAAGAGACATCAGCCTGAAGCCAGTCACATACGACCTTTTGGGAAGTTTGAAGCTATAGCTCAGTGGTTTAGGGAGATTACTACCAACCATTAGGCCATAGCTTCAAGTTCTGCCCCAACTACCAAGGTTTGGGTAGCCAGGTAGTATCAATAGCCCTGACACAATAGATGTGGCTCATTGCCTACTGTACAAATGTGCACAATGTAGCTGGGTGCGATACCAAAGTCGGTACAGGGTAGATAGAAGTTTAAAATTTCAGTTTGTTGCATTTGTATCCGACTATGAACCCGTGTTACAAGCATCAGCATGCCGTAGGGTAATGGGGGAGTATTATTTTGAGGGCCGATCATTCCCAACTCCCATTCTCGCAAGAAATGCAGCATCAGCGCGGTACTGTTGCTCATTCAAGGGAAACAGCTTACTGCCGTCACAACACCGTCCAGCTAGCAATGCGACTTCACCCCTAGACTCCCACCATTGTAAAAAATTTAAGCTATAATGTTAACTGCCTTTTGTCTAACCACTATCTAATAGACCTTTCTGGCATATCAGGACCTAAAAAGATAAGGGTTCCATCAGCAAATCTCGTTGGATCATTGTGATATGCTGAGCCCGACCACCACGTCAAGGAAACAGCTGTCATGGTTCTCTACCAACATTATCATCATTATTTTCACCATTATGAATCTCATTTGCTTACTTTCTGTCGTCACAGTGATATGAAGAGTGGCAGTTCTTTTTCACATAGCATTTGTATTTGCATTCCATTCCTCAAAAGAATCCCATGTACATTCGGGATGCAATAAAAATTGCTTGTGATGTTTTTGCACATAAAAACTCATGACTGACATGAATCTGCATAGGAAACAAGAGAATCTGATGGTTCGGAGCAGTATCACAATTTAGAAAACGCAACCTGTTGGAAAAACCCCGTTATTATTTTGACATAAGAAAAAATTATCCCATGTTTTATACAAGTGAATTTTAAGGCAAACACTTTTGAAACATTTGACATTGTGGTACATAGCTGAAACCAATCAAGTCAGTAAAAAATTTGACCGTGTGTGCAAATGCTAAGCAAAAGAAAACCTAGTGAAAGAAATGATGAAATAAGCTATTAGATATCAAAAACCCTTTTTCGAACGTGGAGGCACACTGAATTCACGTAAATAAGCAAGTAGAGAATAAAGGCTTTTTCTTTTACAATTTAAATATGCAGAAACAACGTCATGCTGCTGTTGACCATTTAAAGAAAACTCAGTTTCATAAGGCAATCTAAATTCAACAGTCTGTGGTAGAACTAAGTCATTAGCTGATAATGAGATGAGAAAAAGAAAAGGAACGGCCCATAAGAAGAAAGTAAAATAAGCTATCAGATATAAAAATGGAACTGGACTGCTCAGAAATACACGAAATGCCACTAGATGGTGAATAATCAACATTAAGGCACTACTCAAAAAGCCGAATGACTGATAATGAAAGGCAGGAAACGTTTTCAACAGAGAAATATAGAAGCAATGACATATTATTCCAGTCAGTGTAAGTATTATGGAAACATCATCCGTTATAAAAAGGATAAAATGAAGTATAAACTCTGCGTATATTGTACAGCGTATTATCTTCCCTGTGGTGACAATATATTCTTCAACTAACTCAGTCACGTAAAACAGTCCAACAGCAATGCAAAATAACACAATAAATAAGTAAAATAGCAGTGTGATATAGGAGAAAATCCAAAGAACAGAAATCTGGAATTGAGAAGTTATCGAAACTAACCTACCATAGACAACCAGGAATATATACTATGTAAGAACAGTTCTTATCTTTTGCCAAATAAGGCACGGAAACGCTCAAATAATGTGGTACAACCAATTTTATCACCCACCAATGAACCTGAAAAAAACAAAGTGTGATATAATGCCATCATCACTTGAAAGTGCAGCAGGATTTTAAACACGCCTTGATGTGCAAATGCAAGTACATGTTGCGTATACCATGTTCCGCATTCGAGTGTATTCATTGCCTATATAACCGCTAAGAGACTGTGATACAGCGATTTATGAGCACAAAATGTAACAAGTATGGATACACCTTAAAACTTTTGGTGGATATTCAAGTTATAACACTGGTTTAATAAAATGGGTTTGATTTTAAACCTATCAGGAAATTTTACGTGACTAATGGGGTGAGCGTGCATATATATATCAACGTGAAACCTCGCACAGAAGTGCATCGGTTCACACTTTATAGCAGCAGGAGTGGATGAAAAGTGAGTAAAATTCAATGAAGATTAATGAAAATGTTCAAACTCTAGATGTCAAATAGTAAATACATCTGCGTCATTTTTGACCGATTTTCAATCATGTCACCACCAAGAGTCTTCAACCATTGATTCCTATTACCTCACGGAATCCAGCCAGATAGTCTACATATTCTCACACGGCTTAGACCAAGTCGAAGATCTCATCGACTGGTGCCACGCCTTGGTCTAGCCAACCTGGACATTCTTCTAGCCTAATCCATCATCTTCTGGCTTGGCATAACGAGGTAAGGAGTAGCTCGGCGTGTCCAGTAGATGTCGAAGTATTCGCAGTCGACTAAGGTTCACAACCTCATCGATCGACTTGCCTAGTACGTTTCACCTGACCGCAACACTGCTCACACGATGATTCCAACAAACGTGAGCAATATTACCAAGACATCTGTGATCAAAGCTCTGTAATTGCCTCATGTCTTCTACTATCAATGGTCATGTCTCACAGCCGCATAGCATGACAGAACAGACTGCAACGCAGTATACTCGTGCTCTGATAGATAGTCGGATATCTCACTAGTCGGCACCACACGTGACGCAAGTTAGCAAACGCCAAACGGGCCTCATGTATCCCAGCTGATATTCCGTCAGTAACTCCCCAATTAGGAAGTGGTTGACCCATCCCACCACTTTTCTCTATCATTGAACTGGGAATACTCGCAGTAGACAAGTCCTGGAGCAAAATTTTATATTTGACAGGTCACAGAGAAACGTATATCAAAACATTCAGATTTCCGCTCAATCTGTTTAGAAGACCCTGGATGTTTTCAGCGTCTTCACCTAGCACGACAATACCATCTGCATACTACAAATCAACCAGGTGACCTCCAGGGAGTAGATCAATTCCCGTGAAGTCAGAAATATCTAAGGTTATGTCCGTTAGTACGTCTAGAGGGAAGTTAACTAGGAACGATGACAGTGGGCATCCATGGTGGATACCACTAATTGTCGTCAATTCTGATGATAAGTCGCCACAAGCACGTTAACGGTTGCGAGTTCCAGTAGAGCTGTGATTAATGATATGTACTTGCTTGGTACTCCTTTCACAGTTAGACACTGCCACAACTTCTTTCGGTCGACAGAATCAAATGCCAACTTTAGGTCAAGAAATATGGCAAGTGTTCGCCACTAGCCGGTAAGTATAACTGTGCACCAAAACTCACTGTTAGGTGAAAATACGAGCAATGCACCCTCGTTCAGGACTAAAACCTGCCTGGTTTTCGAGTGCAGCTTCAGTTAGGCGTCGGGTAAGTATGGACCATAGGATCATCGACGCAATATTGGCCAAACAAATTCCCCTATAGTTGTCACAAGATTTCTCCCACTCCTTATAGACTGGGATGGTCAGTCAAGTACACTAGTCTGACGGCATTGCCTCTGATTCCCATACACTACCTAGTACCTCCGTCACTTCAGTCAGCTAATTCCTATCTCCACCCTTGAAAACTTCAGGAGGCAAACTGTCAGGTTCTGCTGCTTTCCATCGTTTCAGGTTCGATACAACTTCCTTAACTTCAAGGAGAAGTGGAGGACCGACATCTATGCCCCATCAGGTTCCGGCTAAATGTTGGGCAACTGAAGCATTGCTGAGAGTCAGTGGAACTGTGCTTCCAAGTATTCTGCCTAACGTTCTAGCCCATTCTTTTCGGTGACGGTTTCACTCACCATCGTCTTCTCGCCGATATCCTTATTAAGCATAAGTAGTTGGCGAGTGTTAGTCAACCCTGATGCCTTCTCCATCTCTCACTTTCACCACCCACGACTGCTCGCAATCGATGCGAAGACTCTTGGTCAATTTACGTTTAAGTTGCTTTTGCTCTTCATCATAGTCAGTTAGAATTAGTTTTCTTGGATCAATCAGTTCAGTTGACGTCACGGAAATCCAGTGACATTTGTTAACCTTCGGGTTCAGACTACCAACTGTTTCTAGGCCAGACTTAATACTACCCGCTAAGTTTCCACACGACGAGTATTGCTTTTATATTCAGATAAATGCTTATCTGTCTTTTCCCCAAAATAGTCCTTCAAGTTTTCATTTTTCAATCGAGCACACATATGCTTTACTATCGACTATTTCCTGCAACCGGTAAGGTGAAGACATAAACAAGCACATACTGGTGAGTGATCGGAGTCCGAACAGGTACTCCAGAAAAAGCGATAGTTCTCCACCGACCCTCTTCTACAACGGCTAATAGCAGTGCGATGAATCTGTGTCCATCGTCCGTTTGAAGTCGGCGGACGCCATGTGACACGGTGTCTTTCTTTACGTCAAAGGTTGGTGCTGGCCAGAAACGAGTGACTTTCATGAAGAAATTGCAACAGACGATCACCGTTATCGGTTTGTTGTTAGAGTGGGGTTCCGTAAGTACCTCCAGAATTCCTTTCCGATTGGTTCAGCTTCCCTACTTGAGCGTTAAAGTCACCTGTCATTATGACTAAATCTGAACGTTTTGCTTTCTGTAGCAGAGTTGACAGCCTCTTATAGAATCCACCCTTCACATCATTCAAACTACAGTCAGTGGATGCATAGACGGTTACGAATAGGCATCGCCTAGGTTCATGATCCTCCCTCGTTCTTGTAGATCAATCCAGCTAAACAGCATATAGATGCCTGTTGACTGGTATCTAATCGAGAAACGTATTCTCTGCCCCACAGCTCAATGCTATGACTATACCAGCGACTCCAGAAGAGCTAGCCACTGGGTCTCCGGATACTCTTAAGGCGAATTTAGAAGACTTACTACTATGGCCAGGTGAGGTCAATCTAATAACCACATTTGGGTCCTGTATTCGTGTCTTAAAAACACAGCATACACCCGTAGCTGAAGACCTTGGCGTTCGGGCGAGCGATGCCTTTTGTTTTACTTGGCATTGAGTTGGGACGTTGAAAGCTCCTACATGAAATCAATGGTGGGGTCTTAGGAGACTAGAAACGAGGTCACGATGGCTTTGATCGTTGGCAATAGTTGCAGTGTGAGAGGCTGTGGAAGATGTAATAGGTTAAATAACAGTATCAGAAGGTGAACGCAAAGGAGACAGAATTGAGGAGGATAGGTTGTTTAACTGGGCCTTATGTACTACTGGAAGCGTACGGGTAGTTGACACTTCCCGGCTGCCCACAACGTGGACGGCTATCTCTTCTTAAGGTACCTAAAAGGGGGGGAAATCAAATCTGTATGACCGCAAGAACCATAGGACATCTACTTGAGGCTTGTCACAAACTGACTTTGGCGGGTTGTTTTAAAAGCTGGATAGAAAAAGGCCATATCACAGACATCGGAAGGCCGCGACAGGGAAGTGTACTGTCTCTGAAGCGGATTCTTTTTAACCCCTTCACCACTGTTAAGGAAGCGTTAGCATGGTACTCCAGGTCACCAAAGGGAAACACCTTACTGTTGTCACACCCTATCCAACCACTAGTACGACTTCGCCATCAGACCCCTATCTTGATGTATTAGTTTACACTACAACGTCAACTGCTTTTCGTCTTATCCCTATCCAACAGACCTTTACAGCATTGTAAGACCTCTAGGGTTGGGTTATTGTGGTATGCTAACCAGACCAACACGTCAAGGTAGCTGGTACCGAATGAATTTTTTAAAATCAAAGATAACATCGTTCTTTACAATGACATATGAGAAGTGGTAGACGACCCCCACCTCCTCTTTTCAATCACTGTTCTATTTCCTAACTTCCAGTTTTTCTGGACGGTACTGTTGCGTCTTCGTTATAACAGGATATGAGCGTGCGACAGCTGGATAGCATCAAGCAGTTCCTGAGCTGAACACCACGACTAATAATGAAGACAGATGACAAAAATCAAGGAATTTATTACCTACTGAGGTAATTAACGTCAGTGGAGTACGTCTAAATGATACTTATGGCATCAATAAGTCCACAAGGTGATTCAAAATATTATGGTTCTCAATACTGAGAACTAGATCAACGGACATTGTTTAAAACCTGAAACCCACTTGGCCTCACTAGAGTTGTCATTGTGCACTAGTTAAACCAAAAAAGCATGGACTACTAGAACTCAAGGTCTGGTACCCCAGTGATTTTAACTTCCTTAAGAGTTGGAATAATCAACAACGGGGCTACCTCTGAAATATTTATATTGGCTTTTACTTCAGTTATTTAGCTCAATTGTGGATTGTGAGTCTACCTCCATATCCGATTACATGTTCTGATATCACTACAACCTTAACACGAATTTGACCATCATTTACAGGATTTTTCAAATGATCTTATCTGTAAAAACAGTGGCTTCATTACATATAATAAGACCTATCGCGAAGTTTGATAATTTAAGGCTATTCCAAATAAGTGACTAAGACATGGATTCATATTTTCAGTATATCCAACAATAGTGTAAGCTGAAAATTTCATGGTTTCTAACCCTCGTTTTTAGGTCTTGAGGATACATCAAAGTGCAAACAATATTACCGTATTCGGTCAGGTAGTATGTAACTTGTAAACCAACTTGCACAGTGAGTATAAAGTATGCAATACAGCAACGAATGAAAAGTAACGATGTGAGTAGTACGTTTCGCTTACTTCTCAAGGTTCCAATATCCAATATCTTTTTAGTGAGCGTGTGTAAACCAGCTGATTTCTTCTTGCTCACTTCTTGGTCTTGTGGAAAGGTTCCAGATCTTTGGCGGATTCCGATGCAGTAGATCCAGCCACTCGTCTGCTGTAGCTCTGATATACAGAGCAAGAGGTGGTGTCGGTTAGTTCGCTTTGGACTGTGATGCAGTCGGCTTCTTCAGATGTCGAGTTGCCAGACAGTTGTTAGGACCGGTCGCTAGAGAGGGTTAGAGACAGTGAAGAGAAAACCTAGAAAGTGTTTGTGTGAGTAAAAGAGGAGAAGAAAACTGAACTAATGGAGTAATCCACTTACACCCAAAGAAGGTGAGTAGGGGTGCAAAGGTATGAAGAACTTAGGTAAGTGAGGCAAACTTATGGCAAGTGGAAGGTGTGAAAAGGGCTCAAATGGTTACAATAGAAAGAAAACTGGTTAGGGTGGCCTGACGTCACTTCGTGTTCCAGCTATATGTGGGTAGACCATGAGTCTCTGCATGACTGTCTAGCCTCTTCCTGAAGCTTTCAATAGTTGGGGCGGAGAACACCTCTGCTGGTAGTGCTTTCCAGTACCTTCAGACTCAGAGGAAGAGAAACTGTGAACGCATATGCGTTTTTGACCTTTGGTGGGCTATTCTCTTGGGGTTTCCTCGAGGATCTCCGTAGTGGCCACTAGGTAGAATTCCTCTAGCCGAGTGACTTGGATTACTCAGTATTTTGTAGGCCATTATTAGGTCGTCTCGTAACCTTCAGTAGCTTAGAGAGTACAGGCCTAGGTCTTTCAGTCTCTCATCATATGGTTTTCGTTGCATTCCAACAGCCCATTTTGTGGCCCGCCTCTGGACTTTCTCCAGTAAGTTCGCGCCTTTTTTCAGCTGTGGTGGAGCAAAGACGTTATGGACCTCCAAGTGGGGCCGTACGTTAGTCTTATAGAGCTTCAGAAAGAGTTCTGCGGTGACGGCACCCAGTTGTCTACGCACAAAGTGTAGTGCACCCTATGCTTTTGGGGCATCACCTGGGTGATTGGAACTGGTGTCCAGTTTCTCCGTTACCGTTAAACCCAGGTCTTTTTCTACTATGGTATGGGATAGACGTGAACCACAGAGATGGTAGGATACTTTCTGGGGATCAGGAGTGCTGAAAATCACGGACCGGCATTTATCCAGGTTAAATGCCAGTTCGTTATTACTTTCCCATTCTTCTAGTGCTTTGAGGTTGTTCTATAATGCCATAGATTCCGCTTCTCAAGTTATTGCCCTCCATAACTTGACATACGCTGGTGCATCAGCAAATATGGGAATCGGGGAGACGATATGTTGCTGCAGGCCATTCAAGAACAGTATGAACAACAGTGGGCCCAGGATTGCTCCTTATGAGACCCTGGGTGCGATTGTTCTCCAAGTTGAGTAGACCCTAATAAGTTTCGTGCAGAACTCCCTGTTAATATAAGTGAAAAACTTGGGCACTGTGGTAGAATGTAGTTCCATATTAGATTTGTTTATTTGATATAAAGCGCACAGTGATACAGTATTATTTACTTGATTACGTTTCGAGCATAAATTATTGCTCATAATCATATCAATGTAATCACACTTCTTTCGACATCTGATTTTATAGTCCTGTCACCTGATCTCTCTTTGTTTTTTTGTTTTTTGATTGGTAGTAAAGTTTTCCATATCTCTGGTATAGGTGTTGCGTCATTCCTATTACATGTGTTGGGTGTGAATTCGATGAACAAAGATTCAGTAATTAATCTCTCTCTCCACCTAGCTATATTAGACTTAAGTACAGTGGTTTTGTCCCATCCTATTGTGTGGTTGTGTGTTAATGAATGTAATGCAATGGCTGAGTGTTTTTCTAGGTTATTGATCTTATTGGGGTCTGTCGTTCTATGTTTAGCTAAATTCCTATGTTCTGTTAATCTAACTGACCCCGACCGGCTAGTTTGACCTATGTATTTGACTTCACAGTCATTACATGGAATTTGGTAGATTATATTATTTTGCTTAATTGGTTCTATCGGATCTTTTAGCCGACACAGCTTACCTCTAAGTGAGTTTGTTGGTTTAAATGCCACCCTAATTCCAACCTTGTTGAGAATCCTACGTATGGTTTCTGATGTTCCTTCCTTGTATGGTATCACAATAGAGGTGCTGATTTCCTTTCTACTTATGTTGTCACTATTATTTGTATTTGTATTAGTGTTATTATTTTGCTTCTTATGCGTCCGTGTGAATTTCTTAATAAAATGATGGGGATAATTATTAGTTATTAACGCTTCTTTTATGTGTTTCAATTCCTTATTTAAGTCCTTACAATGACTAGTGAGTTTCTCAGCTCTGTTATTTAGACATTTGACTAAACCCGCTTTAACTGACACTGGATGAGATGACTTGAAGTCTAGATACCTGTTAGAATGTGTTGGTTTTCTGTAGACGGTAGTATCTAAACCACCATCTATCCTTCGTTTTATTCTGCAATCCAACATAGGTAATTCTCCTTGTTCATTTTCTACTTCGTAGGTGAATTGGATTGCGTTAACTACTGAGTTTATGTGTGTCAAGAAACTGTCGATATGTTCCGATTTCAACACTGTAAATGTGTCATCTACATATCGCCACCATATCTTAGGTGTCGGATTATATGTTCGTAAAGCCATATCTTCCCAACTATCCATAAATATATCTGCTACTATAGGGGATATTGGTGATCCCATTGCTACTCCTTCTGTTTGTCTGTATATCTTTCCCTGAAACTTGAAGACTGTCGAGGTTAAGCATAACTGCACTCCTAACATGATTTCACCAACCGATGCCTTGGTTCTTTGAGTAAGTTGTGAGTCAGTATCTAGTTGATTTCTGACTGCCTCCAGTGCCATATTGATTGGTATTTTAGTATAAAGACTTGTTACGTCAAAACTAACCATTTTTTCATCCTCTTCTATGTGCAGGTCATTAAGTTTTTGTTTCAACTCGTAAGAATTTACTAGTCTAGAGTTGGAACGGTCTCTAACAGGACGTAATACTGATGCTAAATACTTTGATATCTCATATGTTGGTGTGTTTCGGAAGTCAACTATCGGCCTAATGGGATAACCTGCTTTATGAACCTTAATAGTACCGTAAATTCTGCTAGGATTATTAGTTTTTGGCATTAAAGTAAACCATTCGGACTTACCTAGAGATGGCTTCAGTCGGCGTATCAGATCTGTTGTAGATTTCTTAATTTTATTCATGACAGTATCTATAGGTTTCTTAATCTCTTCATATGGCCCTGTTTGGATATGTTCATCCATTTTTTTAAGATAATCCGATTTGTCCATAACTACTGTTGAGTTACCTTTGTCAGATTTAGCAATTACTATACTATTATCCTTTCGTAGATTGTTTAAAGCTGAATTTTCCAGTTTCGTTAAGTTTCGCTGTGTCTTCTTTTGTTTTTTAAGTGCTAATGCACACTGCGCTCTAACCTGTTCAGCAGTTGTCACATCCACCGAGCTTAATGCTACTTCTATGCTAGGTATGACATCTTCTGGTTTTAGATGATCTACTGTTATGTTGAAGTTTAGTCCTTTTTCAAGTACTTTCATCTCAGCTGAGCTTAAGGCTTTCGAGGAGAGATTGACTACCCACTTTGTTCTATCGATGTTCGATGATGTTTCCTTTGTAATTTCATTGTTTTCGGAAAACAATGAAATTACAAAGGAAACATCATCGAACATCGATAGAACAAAGTGGGTAGTCAATCTCTCCTCGAAAGCCTTAAGCTCAGCTGAGATGAAAGTACTTGAAAAAGGACTAAACTTCAACATAACAGTAGATCATCTAAAACCAGAAGATGTCATACCTAGCATAGAAGTAGCATTAAGCTCGGTGGATGTGACAACTGCTGAACAGGTTAGAGCGCAGTGTGCATTAGCACTTAAAAAACAAAAGAAGACACAGCGAAACTTAACGAAACTGGAAAATTCAGCTTTAAACAATCTACGAAAGGATAATAGTATAGTAATTGCTAAATCTGACAAAGGTAACTCAACAGTAGTTATGGACAAATCGGATTATCTTAAAAAAATGGATGAACATATCCAAACAGGGCCATATGAAGAGATTAAGAAACCTATAGATACTGTCATGAATAAAATTAAGAAATCTACAACAGATCTGATACGCCGACTGAAGCCATCTCTAGGTAAGTCCGAATGGTTTACTTTAATGCCAAAAACTAATAATCCTAGCAGAATTTACGGTACTATTAAGGTTCATAAAGCAGGTTATCCCATTAGGCCGATAGTTGACTTCCGAAACACACCAACATATGAGATATCAAAGTATTTAGCATCAGTATTACGTCCTGTTAGAGACCGTTCCAACTCTAGACTAGTAAATTCTTACGAGTTGAAACAAAAACTTAATGACCTGCACATAGAAGAGGATGAAAAAATGGTTAGTTTTGACGTAACAAGTCTTTATACTAAAATACCAATCAATATGGCACTGGAGGCAGTCAGAAATCAACTAGATACTGACTCACAACTTACTCAAAGAACCAAGGCATCGGTTGGTGAAATCATGTTAGGAGTGCAGTTATGCTTAACCTCGACAGTCTTCAAGTTTCAGGGAAAGATATACAGACAAACAGAAGGAGTAGCAATGGGATCACCAATATCCCCTATAGTAGCAGATATATTTATGGATAGTTGGGAAGATATGGCTTTACGAACATATAATCCGACACCTAAGATATGGTGGCGATATGTAGATGACACATTTACAGTGTTGAAATCGGAACATATCGACAGTTTCTTGACACACATAAACTCAGTAGTTAACGCAATCCAATTCACCTACGAAGTAGAAAATGAACAAGGAGAATTACCTATGTTGGATTGCAGAATAAAACGAAGGATAGATGGTGGTTTAGATACTACCGTCTACAGAAAACCAACACATTCTAACAGGTATCTAG